TCCTGAGGCCGAGTCCCACATGCCGCAACTAGAAGGATGTGCAGCTATGACATACAACTATCTGCTGGGGCTTTGGGGGGAAAAAATAAAAAAAAAAAAAAATTTTTAAAAAAAAAAAAAAAAAAAAAAAAGAGTCAAGTATTAACTGTCTTAGTAATATTTATATCCAACATTGCTATAGGCACTTTATGTTCATTGTCTCATTTAAGCCTCACAACAGTCCTGTGAGAGAGATACTATTATACCCACTTTACAGAAAAGGGAACTGGAGCACAGAAACTTAAGGATTTCTGCTGTTGATGTCATGCATTTGGCAAGAGGTATGATAGCATGAAAGTAATGTTGCTTCTTTCTTGCTCTTTTTTTCCCTCAAAATCATTCATTTTTGTTATTTTTTTTCTTTGCAGAACAATTTTGTTAGTCTTCTTTGTTTCCAGAGATCAGATCTAGTTGCCAAGGGTTTTATGTCCTTGGGAAAACCATAGGTACAGTAGTCCCCTCGTATCCACAGTTTCATTTTCCATGCTTTCTGTTACCTTTGGTCAACTGCAGTCTGAAAATATTAAATGGAAAATTCCAGAAATAAACAATTCATAAGTTTTAAATTGTAGGCCATTCTGAGTAGCTTTATGAAATCTTGAGCTGTCCTGCTCCCTCCTGCCTGGGACGTGAATCAGACGTGAATCATCCCTTTGTCCAGCGTATCCACGCTGTATGTGCTACCCGCCCCTCAGTCACTTAGTAGCTGTTATCAGATCAACTGCCTCGGTGCTTGTGTTCAAGTAACCCTTATTTTACTTATTAATGGTCCCCAAGCACAAGAGAAGTCATGCTGGCAATTCGGATATGCCAAAGAGAAGTTATTGTTGTTAATCTCTTATTGTGCCTAATTTATTAATTAAATTCTATCATAGGTATGTATGTATAGGAAAAACATAGTATATATATATAGAGTTCAGTACTATCCGGGGTTTTAGGCATCTACTGGGGGCTTGAAATGTATCCCCCCCCAGATAAGGGGGGGCTATTGTACCTATTTCTCTATCTTTCACATTTTTTAAATACATTTTTTCAAAGTTATACAGTTTAAAGAGTTAAGTAGTTTGTCAGGGATTGTTCAAACAGTAATTCTCAGTCCACACCTTCATTTGCCCTTCTCAGAGGTGACCACTCTCAACTTTTAGCTGTTTGGTATTTACCTGTGGTTTTTCAAGTAACATTTTTGTATTGATGTTATCTGAGTTTTCAGTTTAGGTACATAATTTGTTTATATGGTTTTCTCTGTCCTTATCACTAACTCACCTCAAAATTTTCTACCAATTGCCCAGATTTCCTATTTTCTTTCACATCATTTATTCTGTCAATGTTATCATCTTAAAGAAGTTCTTCCCAGAGCAAAGTGCTCCAATCTGGAGTAGTTTCTGTTTTCTCATAGCGCCCAGCTGTCCTTCTAGGAATTCTCTTTTCTTTTCTCCTGGGTGGGATCTTCTGTTTCTTCTCTGTGTTTCTTCTAGTCTGTGTCCATCTTCTCTATTTTTGTATATGGGAGGCCACCACAGCATGGCTTGATGTGTGGTTTGTAGGTCCACGTCCGGGATCTGAACCTGCGAACCCTGGGCCACCGTGGCAGAGCATGAGAACTTAACCACTACACCACTGGGCCGGCCCCTGGATGTATTTTTTAATCCAGTATGCTGTGCGTTTGGTATTTTCAATTAGGAAACTTACATTGTTAATTCTGGCACGTTTTCTTGAATTGTTTCATTGATTTTTCTTCTCTCTGTTTTCTCCTCTAAGAGGCTGTACTGTACAGATATTGAATTATTTTGATTGCACTGCCTATTTCCTTATTTTTTTCTTATCATCTATTTTGTACTTTATTCTTTCTGATAAATTTCCTTAAGTTTAATTTCCAAGGGCTCTTTTAAAAAGAATCCTATTTTTTTTTTCATTGATGGAATATCTACTCTTACCTCTCCAAGGATGTTAATGATAAGGTTAAAATTTTTTTTAATTTAAAATTTTCTTCTCCCTACATTGTCCGTGTTTCTTCCAGGTTCTTTTTTTTTTTTTTTTTCCCTGTTTGTTTCATTTATTTTCTGTTTTTTGTGCTAGAGGCTTTCCTCAGATGAGTAGTGATCCTTAGCTGTCGCCAAGTGTGGCCCTAAAAGTTGATTGGAAGCTCTGAGTACATCATTGGTATTTGCTGACTCTGAGTTCACTGTAGGGTGACCTGGCTTTGCTATTTATTAGAGAACCCTTGATATCTGCTTTTGATTCCTTTCCCCTTTGCAAAAGGAAGAGTCTTTTAATCTCCTGCCTGGTAAATGAGAGCCTATGTGCTGGTTCTCTGGGAGTCGAGGATTCAGCATTCAGTGTATATATGTGTTTACTTAATCCCCCTGGTTTCATTAAGTCCCTCTCCCCACAGTGTGCTTTGTGTCCCTGTGTTCAGAAATTCTCTTCAGAGAATAATCCTCTAGAATTTTGCCTTGGTGAAAGAGGCATATAACTCTACCACATGGAATTTAGGAAGGCATTGAGAGATTAAGCCATTTCTTAAAGAGCTTTCAACCAGCCTGTCTTACTTAGTGCTCCTTTCACCCCTATTTCTAGAGGTACTCTCTGTTACGTCTTTACCAATTCCTGAGCCTTTTGAGAATTATGTGGACTAAGTCAGGTTGTTTTTTGGCTTTCCACATTCTCAATTTAGGATCCTTGGTTTTCTTGGATCTGCTGTTATTTACCACTGGTCCATATGCTTTCCAGCCTTCAAAATTTTGTTTATGCCTTAAAAATAACTTATTAGAATTTTAGCACAATTTTGGGAAGGAATGAAATTAAATATGTATGTTCAATCTTCCATCTTTACCCAGTACCTATTTCTAGATATTTTTTTGTTTAAGCATTTATTTATCTATTCCTTTATTATCTATTCCTATCTATTTATCTATTCCTTCAGCTCTTACCCACAGGTCTTCACTGAATGCTCGGGGGTAGTAGCCACAAGCCTGGGGCAGTGAAGTAGAGCTGACAGAGATCCTACCTAGGGCACATGGACCTTCCCCACGTGCACAGCAGCCACCCTCAGAAGGCAGGGGCTTGTGGGAGGGTGAAGGAGTAGAGCAAGAGAACTGAGAGAAACCCACCGGAGGCACCCCAGGTTTTCAGTTGTGGAAGGCTGAAGGCAGGGAAAGAGCTGGAGATGTCCTTCATCCCACACTCTGGCACTCTATGCTTTCAATTACCAAAGGCTGGGGACAGGGCAGGAGAGGTGAGGGAAACTTCTCTAACTCATTTCAGGTCTTCATGTAGTGTAGAGAAGCTGCCCTCCAAAGGGAAGGCTGGGGAGGAGGTACAGGGCTGAAAGAGATCACCTGAGCTGCAGAAAGCAAGGTGTGGGATGGGAAAGCAAAGAGAATTCTCTAGCAGATGAAAAATCTGGCAGTCACGCTCAAAGCAGAGAGCGAACTCCCAGTTTTGATTTTTAAATAAACTTTATTTTTTGGAGTAGTTTTAGGTTTATAGAAAAATTGCCAGGATAGTACGGAGAGTTCCCATGTACTCCACACCCAGTTTCCCCTATTATTAACACCTACAGTAGTATTGTATATTTGTTATAATTAATGAACTAATATTGATACATTATTTTTAACTAATGTCCATACTCTATTCACATGTCCTTTGTTTTTACCTAATGTCCTTTCTGTTCCAGGATCCCTTCCAGAGTCCCACATTAGATTTAGTTGTCGTTGTCTCTTTAGGCTTCTTTTGGCTGTGACAGTTTCTCAGACTTCTCTTGTTTTTGATGACTTTGACAGTTTTGAGGAGTGTTGTTCAGGTATTTTGTAAAATGTCTCTCTATTGGTATTTGTCTCGTGTTTTTCTCATGATTAGACTGGAGTTTTGGGTATTTGGGAGGAATACCACAGAGGTTAAGTGCCATTGTCATTATATCATTTTAAGGGTACATACTGTCAACATGACATATCAGTGTTGATGTTGACCTTGATCACTGGTCGAGGTAGCGTTTGTCAAGTTTCTCCACTCTAAACTTACTCTTTTTTTTTTTCTCTTTCTTTCTTTCTTTTTTTTTTTTTTGTGAGGAGGACTGGCCCTGGGCTAACATCCGTGCTCATCTTCCTCCACTTTATATGGGACGCCGCCACAGCATAGCTTGCCAAGCAGTGTGTCGGTGCGTGCCTGGGATCTGAACTGGTGAACCCCGGGCCACGGCAGCGGAGCACACGCACTTAACTGCTTGCGCCACTGGGCCGGCCCCTTTTTTTCTCTTTCCATACTGTACTTTTTGGAAGGAAGTCACTTATGCACAGCCCACACTTAAGAAGTGGGTAGTTATTCTCCCTCTCCTCAAGGGTGGAGTATCTACATAAGTTATATGGGATTCTCCTGTGCAAGAGATTTGTCTCTTCTCCCTCATTTACTTATTTATTCAATCACTTTTTATATCAGTATGGACTCATGGATATTTACTTTATACTTGAGGTTATAATCCAATTACTACTTTATTTATTTTGTTGGTGAAATTGTTCTAGCTTTGGCCATTGGGAGCTCTTTCAGTTGGCTCCTATGTCTCTTTGACATACCGCCACAGTGTGTGTGTTTGTGAGCACTTCGTGAGGAAGATGAGCC